GGAGGAGGGAACGGGTATTTGTATACACAAGGAGTGCAATGCACACCACCGGAAGGATGGACATATTTGAAACACAGACTTGGGGGGGGACCAAGGGCAACATACGTAACCTAAACATCTGTACCCCCATAATATGCTGAAATAAAAGAAAAAGAAAAAAAAAAGATTTTTAAAATCCCTAAATAATTGGAGAGATGTCCCTTGTTCATGGATGAGAAGACTTGATGTCGTAAAGATGCTAGTTTTCTTCAAAATTAATTCATAAATTTAATGTAACTCTAATCCAAATTCCAAGAGGAATTTCTGAAAATGGAACTTGACAAAGTGATTTTAAAATTGACATAGAAAAGCAAAAGTCTAAGCATGGTCCAGACAATTCATAAAAGAAAAACAAGAAGGAATAAGTCCCATCAGACAGTAAGACTTAGAGTAATTAAGATAATCAGATAGTAAGCTAGAGTAAGACTGCTTGGTATTGGTGGAGGAATTGACATTGGTCAATGAATAGAGGTGAGAAAACCCAAAAAGATCTGTTTTATGTGGGAAACTGGAATGTGATACAGTGAGGATTACAAGTCATTGTGGAAAAGATGGCCTAAATAGTGCTGGTTTTCCATTTGGACAAAAGTAAAATTAGATTCCAATCTCTGACAATAGTTAAGAAGCAATTTCAAAAGTACAAAGACAATTTTAAGAAAATAAAGGTAAATATTTTTATAATTCTGGTGTGGAGAAAGATTTTATAAATAAAATACAAAAGGAACAAACCATAAGGGACACGTGATATATTTGATGCTATCAATATTAAAAATGTATCCAAGAATAGTAATATAAATTATGTTGTTATATATAGTGATTTGAATATCTTTAAAGAGTAAAATTATTTTATGATTAATATGTGTAGTAAATGGACATTATTATAAGATAATGTCCATTTAACTGTTTATTATAGGTAGACTGAAGTAATATTACTACATAGGAAAAACTTTTAACATACTTATAAAACTGTGTTATTCAATAATGTATTTACGTAAAAATATTTGGTAAAATAAATAGGAAATAAAATACAGTACCATTGAACATTTCATACATAATGACAAGTAGAGGCTGTTTCTCCAGTGCATGATTGTGTCAATTTTAGAAATTTACTAGAGCAATTCACCACATTAAAATATTGTTGGGGAAATTATGATCTTCTTAATATTTGCAGAAAATATTTTTGACAAAATTCAATACCCATT